CGCAATATGGTTCATGGGGTCACGAAGAGTCGGACACGACTTAACGACTGAGCAACAACAAGGGCTACACTGGTTGAATCTTCAGAGAATTGTACCATATGAAGAAAACACTCTACTGGACAAGGCTACTCTAAATCAGTGTTGCATATTTAAAGAACATTAAAAAATAATGGATGACAATATGCTATTTCCCAAGAAACCCATTTTAACTCTGTTGGTAAATTATTATTGGTAAATTTTTGAACGGTACAGTGCACCTGATATTCTCACTGGCAATATGTTATCTAAGTTAGTATTTTTCACATTTTGCTTGGTCTTTGTATATTTTGACCCAGTCCATAAGTGTCCTTGTTCGATTACAAAAAAAGCAGCTTCTGTTCATTTTAATTGGACTTCTCTCATGTTTATCCCTTAATGCTGCCTTTTAAAATACAGAATTGAATCTTTATCTGTTGCCTCATGAATTAGATAAATTGGATCATCATTCCTGTAAGCTGGGTGACTACTTAAAATATGCTATTGTTGCTATGATATTTAAACTTGGACGTCCTTTAATTTCTTTAAACTGCTGAAAGAATGGACTGCTGAGGATTGCCTTGCTACAATGCAGAATTCCTTCCCTGCTCCACAATTTAATGGTTTTTAATGCTTTGATGGTTTTATAACCTTGGAGATGTGTTTGATCTGAAACTCTCCTGAGGAATCCTCATATTAATTGGCCAGGAAGATTTCTGCATTGATGTCTCAGAAATCGCTTCAAGCTGCTTTGACCTTATAGTCTCACTAGGGACTAAGCCTTTCATGCATGCTTTTATCTTATCCTGTTGATCTAATTGTTATTACTCTGACAATTTTTCAACTTCCATTTCTTCTTAGGGAAGAAGTTCTAATGTAGAATCATGGTTGTCATGAATGCACAATAAAGCCAAGTGGGTGTTTATATAATTTTACAAGCTTTGGCTCACTTGCTCTTACTGAACATTTGTAAAGAGGAAAATATTATGGGATATTGAGCAGTATGATTGAAGCCTGTCATTTTATGGTTGAGCAGTTATCAGTCTTCAATTCTTGAGTTTATAGTGTTTTCTGATCACAGAAATATATATTTTTCAAGGATATTCATAGTATCGTTGGGGGATCCAAAATGTCTCACATGTATTAACTCAACTATCTTTATAAAAGCCTTGAAAGATTACTCACTTAGATGAATCCAGTACTGCAGAGTACGACTGAGTTTCTAGAATGGCCTGCCCATAGTCATCCAGTGGGCTTTCTTATGAATTTGGGCAGCTTTCTTCAATCTACTTCCTTCTATAGGATCGTCTCAGAATTCACAGCTAGCATTGTCAAAGACTGTGGAAATTGTAATCCCACATACAAATGGGAGGAAGCTGAACTAAAGACTTTCTGTTGTCCACTTGCAACATTAGGCGTGACACTAAAGCAGCTTCATTTCAGTAGTTACTTTTTTGCTCACTGCCAACATTTATGATCTACTGAAAATACTGTCTTGTTTGGTGATAACCAGAGTATATAAACATGGAAGATCTTCTGTGTATGTGCATTAATATTCCCAATCTTTTTAATTATCTCCTGCACCAAAGCTTCATATGCTACTGAAGCTATTCCCCAACACAACCACTCTAAGTGGCTCCTTTCACAACATGGGGCTTTATATGTGGCACTAACTACAAAGCTCCATGTATCCATGCCTAGACATATGTTGATTTGCCAAGCATTCACAATCACTGCTCCGTATTACAGATTTCTGCTTTTCTTGACATTCCTCAGAGTTTATTTATTTACTTACTACAGTTGTATGCTGTTCATTCCTGAAGGCTCTGAGTAGCTAACAATTACAAACATCATATAAAAATTCCTCCCATAAAAATAAATAAACCCACCAAAAAAAAAAATGATAACAATCTCAACACCATTATAAGGGATATGAAAAACTTACAAAGTTATATGTCTACCAGTTCAACTACAGTTCAAGCATGCAGATCTTTTTAATCTATTTGTCCTGTTTCCAAAGTCTGTAGTTAAGCCACTGGGGAACAAGCTGAAAATAAAGAGATTTTCTATCCTAATGTTTACTTTAATTATTCAAATCTGGCAAGAGTAAGGTCACAGTGAAAAATAATGTATATTCTGATAATAGGTTATACTCTAAACACAGCAGAATCAGCTAGATGAGATTTTTAATGTAAAATCATCATGTTCATTTATTAAAATAAAGCTCCAAGGCATAATTACATTTTTCTGTAATTACATATACAGAATTGTATATACAGAACCTGAATTCATGTTTCCCACATTTTCCTGCAATCTTTCTTTACCCTGAAATATGCATAATACTTTGCACTTCCAATTTTCAGAAACTGATTACTTTTTTTAGAGCAGTGAATTATGTGAGAAAAATAAATAAAGTACCTGAAAGTATATACTAAAAGAAAAGTAATGGACAACTGACCTGATTGAATTTCCAACTTTCTGGAAATTTCCAAAGCTTTTTCTTATTAAAGACAAATTTTTACCTTACATGAAATGCACTGATTTCCAAATAACCCAAGTCTTCTGGTCTTTCACAATTACATTAAGTGCAAGGCACAAATCTCATCATTAACAAGTGTAAGCGTTAAGCTACTAACAATCTTGAGCAAGGATCCAAATCTCTCCAAATGTACTTGAAATCAAGGGCACCACACACATCATTTTGTGTGTTACTTTTCATGACTGCTGACTTAAGCAGCATATAATGCAAAAA